TGAGTCACTTCGTGATGCATGGGAGCGGTACATGGGATTTTTCTGGCAGTGTCCCCATCATGGCTTTAGTGATGCATTCACAGTGGGGAACTTCTACTATGCTCTCTCTCCGGAAAGCCAGAGGGTGATTGAGTCTCTATGCCCAGGAGGGGACATTCTTACCAAGACTCCACCCGAACTGAACCAGATGATCAGTACATTGGCTGCCAGAGATCATTCCTGGGGGCAGAGCAGCAGAGGCAGACATTCCCGGGATCGTGGTGTGCACGCCATGGAGACCAGATCCGGACTCGAGCAGCAGGTGGCTGAGTTAGTGCAGACATTGAAGCAGCCCAACAGTCTTATTCCGGGCAGAGGTCTGGGCGGACCTCCCGTAGCTCAATGTCAGTGGTGTGAGAGCTCGAATCATCTGGTGGAGGACTGTCAGGCTATGCGGGAGTCCTCTACCCCCCAAGAATAGGTGGACTTCATCGCCAATGCTCCGCACCTCGACCCATATAGCAATACATACAATGAGGGGTGGCGCCAGCATCCCAATTTAGCCTGGAACAGCAACGCCACTAAACCACCTGGTTTCCCATCACCAGCGGGTGGTTTTCAGCAGAGGCAGCCCATCCAGGCTAGGCAGGGGCCACCACCACAACAGCAGCCTTACCAGCCTAGGCAGGGGCACCCATTCCATCAGCCCCAGCATCAGTATGCCGAGCCAGCAGCAGCTCCAGCCCCAGATAACCAGATGACGGAGCTGAAAAACATTTTAGCGGCATTCATGACTACCAGCCAGGCAAATTTCGCCCGGATAGACCAGAGCATCGCCTCGCTGGAGCAGGTCAGAGGAACCAAGGTGCTATACTGCAGGACCTCCAACATCAGATTGGAGGAATTGCCCCAGAACAACACCAGGGCACCGGGAACTCTACCTGCCACTAATATCCCCAATCCACGGGAGCCGCCCCAGCAACTGGATGCCATTTTTACCAGGAGCGGTAAGAACATATCCGCAGATCCTGCCCCGGCTAGGCAGGAGGAACCACTACCTGCTTCAGCACTTCTAGCCGACGATGCAGAAGTGCGGTGGAGCAGGAAAACCCTGCTCTCAAGCCACAACCAGTGGTTAAGGAGCATGTGCCCCAGCTTCCCTTCCCCACTCGCCTACACAAAGACAAGCTGGAGACTGAGTTTTCCAAGTTTATGGCAATGTTGAAGCAGCTCAACATCAGCATACCGTTTGTGGAGGCACTGTCGAAGATGCCCAAGTACGCGAAGTTCATGAAAGATCTCCTCACCAACAAGAAGAAACTTGGGGATCTCTCGACAGTGTTGCTGAGCGAGGAGTGTTCTGCTATCCTGTAGAACAAGCTGCCCGAAAAGCGCAAGGACCCAGGGAGTTTTACTATCCCTCTTACTATTGGCAGCATGCATGTAGGCAAGTCCTTGGCGGACCTAGGCGCTAGCACAAATGTCATGCCATATAAGTTGTATAAAAAGCTAGACTTAGGGGAACTTAGCCCTACTAGGATGAGCATTCAGCTAGCTGATCGTTCCATTGTGCATCATAGGGGAATCATAGAGGATCTGCTTGTTAATGTAGGTGCATTCACATATCCTGTTGATTTTGTTATTCTTGATATACATGAGGATGTGGATGTGCCTTTGATTCTGGGTAGACCATTTCTTGCCACCGCCAAGGCACTTATTGATGTGCATTATGGTAAGCTGATCCTGCGTGCTGGGAATGAACAGGCTACTTTTTCTGTGATTGAATTCGATCACTGTGCTATGATTGCTGTCACACCTGTGCATGCCATTTCTGACCAGGTACACGAGCCTGTCGTGTATCCTTCTACACCTCTCATTTTGCAGGACCCTCCTATCATTCCTTCGCCGCCACCCTATCCAGTCTCGCCTCCGAACAAAAAGATCAAGGAGGAGTGGCAGCCGAAGCAGCAGGTTGCTAAGCCTGCTTGGAAGAAAGGTGGCGACCACTATGAGCTGGTCCCACCTCCTGCACCACGACCGCCCTGGCCATCCGAGTACTCAGTCGCATGCATCTTTCCGGATGGCCAGGTCGAGCTAACCAATGCTGGTGGTCGCACCCGTCGGGTGCATGGCCACAACCTGAAGCTGTACCTCAAGAGCGACGTGGATCCGCTCTTGGAGGCACCTATTCCTGCACCTCCCTGAGTATCCACCATGGGAGTCCAGCTAAAAGACGGTAAAGAAGCGCTTGTGGGGAGGCAACCCCACCACGGTTTGCATTTCTTTTTCCCTTTTTCCGAGTTTTTGTGTCGTCTTGAGTCAGTTGCATGTCTGTGGTGAAGTTCGGTCGTCTGTTATGCCTCGAGAACCAGATCGACTTCACCGGTCTAGGAGGCTCCTAATAGCATGTTTTGAGTGTTTTTGTTTTTGTCAGCGTGCAAACTGTCTTGTGTCGGTTTAGTTTCTCTCTTTTTATTTTGGATGTTGTACTATTGGGCTGACCATTGGACCTAACGTATTGTGTTGAGCTCTTTGGTTTCCTTTAGCTGTGCTTGTCTTGACTGGTCCTCTCTCCAGTCCGCTTCACTCCGACTGGTCCGCTTCCAGTCTCCTGCGGTCCGTGCACACCGGTAACATCGTTCCCCTTTTCCTTCCCTCTTCTCCATTGAGGGCAATGTCGATCTTAAGTGTGTGGGGGGGGGATGTTTATCTTTTGACTGCGTTAGATGTGTGCTTGGAGTCTAGTCCACTGTCCAAATTTTTAAATTTGAGGGCTCCAAGTACGTGTTCCTTGCAATTGCCTGCTCAGTATGCTTTGAATTGACAGTCTCTTTAGTAATGTGCAACCTAGGGAGGTAGTGTAGCACTATGGAGGATGTTGATGCATTTAAGAAGTCTCATTTCTTCTTCATATTGTGTTGGTTGATTGTGTGAATTAGTGATCTTAGGACCCTTGAATTGTGTGGTGATGTGAACTCTCTACCTGTCATGGACTCCTGTATCATGTTTTAACATAAAGGTGCTAAAAATGTGCTTTAAAATAACGTCTCCCGTGCGAATAGGGCGAAAGTGTGTAAGGGGAGATGAGAATCCGTTCCCAATTTCCACCTACTACCTCCAGTCCCCTTACATGTCTTTCCCCCGCACGAGGCTCGAGACATCCGCTCCTGGCATGGCCGGTAAGAGCCGGACTCCCGCAGAACCTCTGCTAGGTGGGAGCCCCCATTTTCTGAAAAAGCAGGTTGGGACCCTTGAAAGAAAAAAAAAAGGAAAAAACAGAAAAACAAGCAAAAAAGAAAGAAAAGGGGTTCCAACCATCTTCAAGAAGAAAATAGAGCACCTTAAAAAGGTGAGTCCATGATCTTTTGTTTTTGAGAGTCCGGTCGTCCACGATTCATTTGTCCTCTGTTCACTATTTGCCATGATGCCGACTCGAGACTAGCTCTCTCGCCGAAGAAGCTATGAGATGACTTGTGCGTCGGTTGACCTCGTAAGTTGCTAAATGATCTAGGAAATCCTCTACCTATGATCGGGGTTGTTGGTTGCTATAGAGGTCTGGAGAGTTGCATTGGTTTGAGTTAGGTTTGCTTGGGGACAAGCAAACGGTTAAGTGTGGGGGAGTTTGATAGACCAATAATTACACATGTTTTACCCCTATTCTTGAGCCATTTGAGAGGTTGACTCTCGTGTTTTAAGCCGATTTCACGCGAGGTTGTGTGTTTATGTCATATTTCAGGGCCCGGCGTTGGAATCGAGGCGAAGAAACGAGTTTCGGGTCGAAAGGAGCGAAGTTGGGTTGAAGTGTGCTGGAGAGCAAAAATACCCGGCCATGATCAGAAATACCCGACCGGGTATTATCTGGCCATGACCGGGGATTTTCGGCTTTGGGCGTCCGTGAGAAACATAAGGGGGCCCGGGCAGGAGGCGAAAACCCTCGGTCGGGGATTCTTGGGCGAGACCGGGGATTTCCCCTGAGGCAAAAACGCGCGTTTTAATTATACCCGGTCGAGACCCAAAATACCCGACAGGGTATTTCGACCGGGTATCGCGACAGTCAGCCTTTTAAAGGAAAAGAAGGCCAAAAATCAAGGGTTCCGAGTTTTAGAGAGACAGAACGATTTCTAGAGAGAGAAAGCGACAAACAAGAGTTCCCAAGTGCTATAGCTTGATCTTCATCACCATTGGAGCCCGGTTTGAGCTTGGAGAAGTGCCGATTGACAACCAGGAGCATAAACTCATCCTTCACAGTATGATTTCCGCGTCTGAATCTGCTTTTGCTTCTCTCTCCATGTAGTAGTTTTCCCATTCATCTGGGTATGGAGAACCCTAGATTTTTATGTTAGGTCTGATTGTATGAACCCAAGTACAGATTTCATGAGTTGATTATATTCGATTGAGGCTTGAATGATTGAATGACTTGAATCCTGATCAAATTCCTGTTGTTTCTGCTTTAACCTAGAGTGAGAATATCTACCTAGGTTGATAGAGCACCCTTAATTGAAGGTGGCGAATTGGTGACTTTAGTCGAGGAGCCAATTCGCTATTCTGTACCGAATTCAATTCGGTAGTGGAGGTTTGGTTCGTTAGGGCCTCAATCTGTTTACTCCGGTGGAGTTTAGTCGCCCGCTGGAGACTAAGATTGAGAGGGTCTGGAGACCTTTAGTCGAGACTTCGGACTGTTTAAGAACCTTCCGCAGTATAACTTTCATGGAAACTGAACTTGGTAAATTGCAATCTGGCTTAACTGCAGTCTAGGGGGAACCATATTCAGGTGACCTCTCTCAACTTGAAACAACCGTTTAACTTGCTTTGTGTTTTTGTTTGTTTGAACCTGCACTTAAGTTTTACCGCTAGATAATACGAATTCACTGAGTAGTCATCACATCTAGGACCCGGGTTGACATTAAAACCCAAACCCGCTATACTACGCTTTAGGAAGTGGTTACACTTGGCCATTTTCTAGAGTGATAGTAGGAGTCAGTCACCCTTCAATCGCAATCTCAAGGGCATCTAGAACGTCATTAGCTGAGGGAAACACAGATGGAGTGATGGAGCGAAAGGGAAAAGATGCACATTGATACAGAGTAGCAACGAGGTGATGAGAGGACCAAACTATAAGGGCGCAATAAGCGAAATAGAGTGTATTTGAGGGGCACATCATTAACATCTTGAACAATGATCCACAGGTCGAGGGGCAGCACCATGTCCAGCGAGTTTGTGCGAGGGATAAAGACCCGAGAGATGCAGTAGTGAAGCATCCTAAAGACGGGGAGGAGGGAAGAGACATGCATGAAGGTGCGCGGAGCAGGAAGCACCCCCATGAGTGCATGAAACTCCTCAGCATAGTCAAAATGGAACAGGGGAAGTTCAAATTCATCACCCAGGGCCTCACTGATTCTAGGAATATGAAGGAACTCAGCAAGATTATCGAGAGCGATGGTGAAGAAATACCCAAAAACTATTGAGGAGAAGGAACGAGAAGGCAGGCCAGGGGGACGAAAGTTGGAAAAGATCATCCGAACCGTTTCAGACAGAACATGGACGAAAACGGAAGGGCAAGCAGAAAATCACAGTCGAGACTGTGAATAAGCCCCTCAACATCCAGTCCGTATTCCATGAGAGTAGGAAAAGGCACATGGTATATATGTAGGTTGAAAGGGACGAGAAGCAAAAAATTGAATATGGCGGTTTTGATTGGCGGGAATGGGTTCCAAAAGAGAGAACCAATAAAATATACTGCAAAAGCCATTGCATACGAAAGAAATAAGACAAACTAGAAAGCGATGCCAGTCAACTAAACAGGACAAAGGCTTAAATAGAACAACCAAGACAAGGAAAAGGCAGGTAATAAATAACAAGATGCATAATAAAGGCAGAAAAGGAAGAGAAAATCAAACAAAGAAAGAGAATCAATAAGCAGACACAAAAAAAGAAAAAAAATAGAAAAAAGAAACTAACACAACAGAAAATCACGGGACAATCATCTCATTAAGAGATGAAAAGAGCGCAGACCTAGCTCATAACAAAGAAAGATAAACCGATCCGTAGACAAGTGTTTAGTAATTAAATCAGCTAATTGATATTCTGAGGGTATGTGCTGTAAGGTCACAATATTGTCCTAGACTAGGTCACGAATAAAATGGAACTTAACTTCTATGTGCTTAGTACGCGAATGCTGGACAGGGTTCCTAGTCATAGAAATAGCGCTAGTATTATCGCAGAAAAGAGACATAGTTGGAACCTGTAAACCATAATCAATTAGCTGATTTTTGAGCCATAGTAATTGGGTGCACGAACTGCAAGCAACCATATACGCGGCTTCGACAGCGGAAAGGGAAACAACACCTTGTTTTTTGCTAAACCACGAAACTAGAGATGTTCCTACAAACTGATAGCTACCAGAGGTACTACGACGGTCAGTTAAACTACCTGCAAAGTCAGAGTCGGTATGCCCCGTGAGTTCAAAAGAATCTTGACGATCATACCCTTTCCCAATGTTAGGAGTTCCTTTAAGATAATGAAAAATACGTTTAACAACTGTAAGATGACTTTCTTTTGGTTGAGATTGGAACTGAGCACAGAGGAAAACACTAAACAAAATATCAGGCCTACTAGCAGTAAAGTAAAGGAATGAGCTGATGATACCTCGATAAATGGATTCACTGACTGAGACACCAGCCTCATCCTTGTCTAGTATAACAGTAGTAGCCATTGGGGATGGAATGGAATTCAAGGCAGTCATATCAAATTTACTCAACATGGCAGAGAGATATTTTGTTTGACTAATAAAAATGCCAAGTTCAGATTGTTTTGACCTGAAGACCCAAAAAAATTGCAATTCACCTAGCATACTCCTTTCAAAAACCTTTTCATGGATTAAAAAAACTCAGAGGAAAGAATTTCATTGGTGAAACAAAAAACTATATCATCTACATATATTTGAACTAATAGCAGATCACTAGAAGTCTGTTTGATAAACAATGTTTGATCAAGAGACCCTTGAATAAAGTTCTCAGACTTAAGATAGGAAGTGAGTCTTTCAAACCAAGCCCGTGGAGCTTGTTGAGCCCATAAACAACCTTGTTTAGTTTGAACACATGATTAGGAAACTTATGGTCCGTAAAACCTTAATATTGTTCAACATAAACATCTTCTTGAATAACACCATTCAAGAAAGCACACTTAACATCCATTTGATAAAGTTTGCAATTTAGGTAGCTAGCAAATACACAAAGAAGACAAATTGACTCAAGACGTGCTACAAGAGCAAATGTCTCGTCATAGTCAATTCCTTCTTCCTATAAGTACCCTTGAGCAACTAGCCTAGCTTTATTGCAAATAATTATACCCAACTCATTGGACTTGTTAGGAAAAACCCATTTGGTACCAAGAATAGTAGAATTTAAAGGTCTCGGAACCAAATCCCACACATGCAGGTAATCAAATTGGTTCAACTCTTCTACCATGGCAATATACCATCCATCATCTTTGAAAGCATCCTTATAATTCTTAGGTTCTACTTCAGAGACATAAGCATACTGACCTGGAGTATACTTACCTCCTCGAGTTCCAAGCCCATCATTCACATCACCTATTATTTGTTCGACAGGGTGTCTCTTTTGAATATGGGGAGGTGCAATGGGCTGGTTGATAATATCTGTTGTAGGATTGTCGTCATGAGGGTGGAAAGATGCAGTCTGATCAGCATTGGATGATGTTTCCATAGCCATGTCACTCAGAGGAACTGATTCTTCAGACGACATTCGAATCATCTCTAACATGTCATACATATCCTCTCCCTGTCATACATCTTAGTAGGAGTATTAGCATCATTAAATACAATATGAACGGATTCCTCCACTTTCTTAGTGCGCTTATTGTAAACTCAATATGCTTGACCTTTGATGGAATAACCCAGAATAATAGCCGGATCAGATTTAGCATAAATTTTCTTAAGTGATCTTTGGTGTTTAACACAAAACAAAGACAACCAAAAGGATGAAAATAAGGTAGATTTGGGGTTTTAAATTTGAAAAGCTCATAAAGAGTTTTCATCATCCCTTTTCTAAGAAGAGCCCGATTAAGAGTATAACAGGCTGTACTCACAGCTTCTGCCCAGAAAATTTTTGGCAAATCATATTCTAGAAGCATAGTACGAGCACATTCAATGATGGTGAGATTTTTTCGCTTAACAACCCCATTTTGTTGAGGGGTACGAGGAGCAGAAAATGTATGAGTTATCCCTGACTCATTACAATGAATCTCAAACTCTTCTGAAACAAACTCACCACCATTATCACTGTGAATAGTATTAATGCGACCAGAGAATTGATTCACAAAGACTTTAAATTTTGCAAGAGCTTCATCTTTGTGAGATAAGAAGTAAACCCAAGTATAGCAAGAGAAATCATCAACCAGAGCTAGAACAAAAATTTTACCGCCTAAGCTAGTAATATTGCAAGGACCGAAGAGGTCCATATGAATCAGATCAAAGACAGCAGTAGATGTTGTGTTGGATTTTAATTTTGAATGATTTCTTAGTATGCTTCCCAGCGATATATGTTTCACAAAAGAAATATGGTTTGTGCTTTAATAGTGGAACACCACGAGCACCCTCATACTTAGAAAGAGTAATCAGTTTGGGAGGACTTATATGACCTACTTTAAGATGTCAGAGAAGTTCATTATGACATGATGCAGTAAAACACATTTCTTGGAAAGCAGTAAGATCATGTAAATCAATAATATACATGTTGTTAACTCTAGATCCAACAAACAAAACTTTCTCATCTTTCTATCGCTCAATGATGCATCTATAAGTTTTAAATTTAACACGATTGCCGTTACTACACAATTGACTGATGGATAACATATTGACTGATGGATAACACATATTGTACCAACTCCTATAATCTGACCAGACCCATTATCACCAAACAACACTTTACCTCCGTCTTTAGGAGATAGAGAAGAGAACAGAGCATCCTTACCAGACATATGATGTGAACACCCACTGTCTAAGTATCATTTATAGTCGTCAGTATCTGAAGGAGCTGAGTGAAGAGTAGTGCCCTCTTGAGATGGAGTGGTAGCCATGAATGCTTCCTCATCTGAAGGAGTATTATCTTGGTCTGAGTCGTAGTCACTCCGAGAAGCTTTCATAGCATGCTCATGAGCTCTTAGAGTCACAGGATAGTGGGCATGAATGTGTCCCAACTTTCCACATTTATAGCAAGCCTGGGGCTCCTTATCATGTATACCTGAATCAAACTTTCTGGTCTGTGGCAAAGGCAGCCTATCTTGATAGTAGGGTTAGTACGATCATAGTCAAAATTACGACCCTCTAAAGCTTGAGTCTTTCTATTATTCTTATGTTTAAGCATCCTATGAAACTGTTTGCTAACAAGAGCAAACTCCTTATCAAACTCAGCTTCATTATCACTGCTCGAATCATAAAAGCAATACTATTACGGTGCTTATCATCATTCTGATTCACTTATTTAATAACATTTTCATGACTTAACAAGGATCCAATTAATTCATTTATAGGAAAAGTGGCTAATTTTTTTGCTCCTCAATGGCAGTCCGCTTGGGCAGCCATTCTTTAGGAAGAGACCTAAGAATTTTGCGGTTCAGATCTTTAACGTGAAAACTCTTTCCTAAACCTTTAAGCTTGTTGATCAAAACAGTAAATCGAGAGTACATCTCGTGGATTCCTTCATTTGGGAGCATTATGAACTCCTCATATTCATGAATTAACATGTCAATTGAAGATTCTCTTATGTTAGAGGTACCTTCATAGGTGCTTTCCAGAGCAAGCCATATTTCCTTCGCAGTCTCACAGTTCTCCACTTGATAATCTTCATCTGGATGCATCGCAGACTGACGAATATGCATAACGCGTTGGTTCAACTGGGCGTTCTTCTTTTGGGTTGCAGACCACATGTTCTGCTCCTCAGAAACCATGGCGATCAGACCATTTTGAATGATCATCCATAATTCTTCGTCAATTCCCCACATCAATTGCTTGATCCGTTTCTTCCACGCGGTATAATTGGAACCGGTGAAGATTGGGGGATGATTGAGAGACGCTTGACCAAAATAAGAAGATGTCATTGGATCGAAACCTTGGTAGTGATTAACTTCGTCAAGGGCAGGCTCTGATACCAATTGAAATCAGATTGAGCCTGAAATGAAAAATTAGGGATTTGAAACTGGGAAGATCAGGGAAGGAAATGAATGAGAAGAACGAAGCGAAGGAGCCAAGAGTCATTAGATTAATTCGTCTCTCTTCTCCCCTTCAGTTTGGGCCCAAGTTTCACAAAGCCCACTCACAAATATAAAACAGAATTGAGACAGAGTGGGCTTAAGACAACTAAGCCCAACCAAAGAAATACAACATGAGCTCGTCTTCAACCTGAGATCAGATCTTTGAAAACAGAGTCTCTGGACTGTAACCGAAAACAGAATAATAAGAAAAAAGAACAAAATCAAGAAGGGCAGAGCAAGAAAATAA